GTCTTTTTGTTATTGAGTTTTAAGAGATCTTTACACATTATAGATAGTAGACCCTTATCATATATAGGATTTGCAAATGATTTCTCCTATTCTGTGGGTTATCTTTTCATTTTCATTTTGTTTAAAACTTATTTTAGGTTCAGGGGTACATGTGAAGGTTTATCACATAGGTAAACTCATGTCACAGGGGTTTGTTATACAGATTATTTCATCACCCAGGAATTAAGCCCAGTACCCAATAGTTAGCTTTTCTGTTCCTCTCCCTCCTCCAAACCTCTACCCTCTAGTGTCTGTTTCCTTCTTTGTGTTTATGAGTTCTCATCATTTAGCTCTCACTAATAAGTGAGAACATGCAGTATTCGCCTGCATTAGCTGGCGGCTGAGGATAATGGCCTCCAGCTCCATCCGTGTCCCTACAAAGGACATGTTCTTTTTTATGGCTGCATATCCTTTCATTTTCTTGACAGTATCTTTTGAAGCAAAAGGTTTTTAATTTTTGTGAAGTCCACTTTATCTAGTTTGTCTTTGCTTACTTCTGCTTTTGATGTCATCTCTAAGAAAATACTGTCTAATATAGTCATGAAGTTTTATAGCTATGTTTTCTTCCAAGAGTTGTAAAGTTTTAGCTCTTGTACTTTGAGGTGATTTTTGTATATAGTATGAGGTAGGAGTCTAACTTTGTTCTTTTGTATGTGGATATCCAGTTATTCCAGCATAATTTGTTGGAAAGACTGTCTCCCATTGGATTGTCCTAGCATCCTTGTTGAAAATCAACTGACCATAAATTTATGGGTTCACTTCTGGACTGTCAATTCTATTCCATTGGTCTATATGACTGTCTTATGTGAACATGGGATGTCTGTTTATTTACTTGATTTCTTTAGTTTTTTCAATGACATTTTGTAGTTTTCAGTGTGTAGATCTTCCACTTACTTATTCATACATATTTATAAATATTTTATAATTAAACATATTTATAAATATTTTATAAACATATAAATATTTTATTCTTTTTGATGATATTATAAATGGAATTGGTTTCTGAGTATATTTGGATTATTCATTGCAAGTGTGTAGCAATACAATGGATTGATTTTTGTAACATCTTGTGTTCTGCAGCCTTTCTGAACTCCTTTATTAGCCCTAAGAGCTTTTTTTGTTGTAAATTCCTTATGATTTTATACCTACAAGAGCATGTCATCTGTAATTAGAATTAATTTTACTTTCTTACCAATCTGGATGCGTTTTCTTTCTTTTTCTTGCCTAATTGTCCAGACTGAAGCCTCTGGTATAATGTGGACGAGAAGTGGTGAGAGCAGAGACACGCTTGTCTAGTTTCTGATCTTAGGAGAAAGCTATCAGATTTTCACACTAAGTACAATGTTAGTTGTGAGTGTTTTGAGCTTGCCCTTTATCAAGTTGAGGAAGTTCACTTTTATGTCTAGTTGTTCAGTGTTTATATTATGAAAATCTGTTGGATTTTGTCTAATGCTTTTTCTGCATCTATTGAGAAGATCATATGGTTTTGTCCTTTATTCTATTACTATGGCAAATTACATTGATTTTGACCAACTTTGAATTTCTGGGATAAATTCCATTTGGTCATGGTATATAATCCTTTATGTATGTTTTTAGGTTTAGTTTGCTAGTGTTTTGTTGAGGATTTTCCTATATCTTATCTATATTGTATCTATTATCACTTTTAATGGCTGCATAAGGCTTAATTATGTGGATATACCATAATCTAACCAATTAGACTTTAAGTTATTTCTTTTCTTGCCATTGTTGTTGTTATAATCAAGGATAAGCTCATCACTCCTGCTCAGATAGCTTTGTATTCATTCATGAGTATTTTTGTAGGATACATTCCTACAAATGGAATAACGGAACCAAAGGTTATGCACACATGTTTGTCTCATCTTGTCATTGACATTTTCAAGTTGTTTATAGTGGGGTTTTTTTTTTTTTTCAGAGGTTTTCAATTTTCAAGTAAGTCACATCTGTTTTTTCTTTATGTATTCTGCCTTTGCCTGTAGGCTCAGAGAGGCCTCTCCTACCATATTCAGGATAATCTCCTATATTTTCTTTCTTTTTTCTTTTTTAATTTTTCGAGACAAGATTTCACTATGTTGCCCAGGTTGAAGTGTGGTCTTTTTTCTTTTTTAGTTTTTTGGGACAGGGTCTCACTATGTTGCCCAGGCTGGAGTGCAGTGGCTATTTGCAAGCACAATCATAGTGTGCTACAGCCTTGATCTCCTGGGCTCAAGCAATCCTCCCTCCTCAGCCTCCCAAGTAGCTGAGATTACAAGCTCACCAGCTATTGTGCTCAGCTAAAACAATCCATTCTTTATCCTAGATTAGTCATGCCATCTTCGTCATAATCTAAATTCTTATTTCTGGGCTTTGCCATGATCCAGTGCTCTTCTTTGTATTCCTAAACCTTGCCATTGTAATTTTTTACTTTTCTGATCTATTTTACTATCTGGTAGTACAAATGGTTTGTGTGTGTGTGTGTGTGTATGGAATTTTCTTCTTTAGAGAAGAATCCAGTTATTTCATAGCTTCTTTTTTTTTTTTTTTTTTTTTGAGACGGAGTCTTGCTCTGTCACCCAGGCTGGAGTGCAGTGGCCGGATCTCAGCTCACTGCAAGCTCCGCCTCCCGGGTTTACGCCATTCTCCTGCCTCAGCCTCCCGAGTAGCTGGGACTACAGGCGCCCGCCACCTCGCCCGGCTAGTTTTTTTGTATTTTTTAGTAGAGACGGGGTTTCACCGTGTTAGCCGGGATGGTCTCTCGATCTCCTGACCTCGTGATCCGCCCGTCTCGGCCTCCCAAAGTGCTGGGATTACAGGCTTGAGCCACCGCGCCCGGCCATTATTTCATAGCTTCTATAGAGAATAATCAATTATTCTACCAGATGAATTTTAGGATAATTTTATAAATAATTTTCATCATATTTCTAATCTGATTAGAATTTTTATTGGAATTACATCACATTTATAAAATTGTTTACAGAGAATGAATATCCATTGGGAGAGCATGGTATGCTTTTCATCCAGTCTTCTTTTTTGTCATTCAGAAAAGCATGAATTTTGGGGGGCGACTGTAACTTTCTTACCAGGTCTATTTATGGATAGTTACTATTGTAAGTAGGATTTTTTTAAACATGTGATAACTTATTTAGGTATATTATTTTATTATAAGGTTAATAATACTTATTTGAGAAAATTTAGAAGCTACAATGTGAATTTAAAAAGTAAATGACCCTCAGTCTGAGAGATAAGCACTGTTAACATTTTGTGTGTATCTTTCTATTGATAGATTTACAGTGTAATGAGGGAAGTAAGACATGATCACATGAAAGGCTTAATAATCCGAGACGCTGTTGAGTGACTAGCTTGTACTTTTTTTCTGCCTAGCTTTTTTTCTCCTTTTGGAAACTGCTTTTCCCATAACTAGTGGAGCTGCCAATCATCCAGGTCCCTCTCCACTGCGAATGGGTTGGACAGTGTATCACCTCAGGCTCTTTTCTGGGAGAGACTCTCTAATCTGGAATCTCAAATGCTAAAGACCTCTAGTCCTGCAGTGCTGCCGGGCAAGGCCTTCCTATCCTCAGAGCACCCCTGTTTGAATCATACTAGTTTAGAAGAGTGAAGTTACAGGTGATTCAAAACCATTCCTGATGACATCATTGGACCTCAAGGTCTAGCTGGCTTAAAGCCAGCCTGAATTCATCCTAGACTTTCCTAAATCAGTAAAGCCAACAAACTCACTATTTTGCTTAAGCAAACTTGAGTTAGGTGTCTGTCATTTGCAGAGTCCCTACCACTACCACCTCCTGTGTCTGTGCCATGGTGCCACATGGGGAGTCACCGAGATGAGTTAGGACCCTGTATGCCCCTTGCCCCCCAGGAGGATGGGTGTTCCTCAGTGAGAGCAGGTTCAGTGCATTGTGCCTGTTGTCTCCTTCAAGGCAAAGCGGGATGGCCATGAGAGGCAGCAGCCTTGGCCAGGTGGGGCATGGGGCTGCCGTGCCAGGCCAGACTGGCTCTGAACTGTTCTTTACTGCACTCTCTTTAGAATGACAGAGTCTGAGTCTGGAGTTAGAATTATAGTGAACATGGGGGATTCTGTGTCACAGAGGCTCTGCAAACCCATGCCACCTGCTATATAAGAGCTCTCTGCCATGCAAGAGCAGACTGGCTGCCTTCCACACCTATTATCCAGTAAAATAGCAGTAAAAATGCAGCTTGTGGCAATGACTAAGCTTAGCCCAGGCCTGCTGATGGAGTTCTTGGTGCCTGTGGATATAACAGGCTCGTTTACCTTCAGAACATTTTTTCGGTGTTTTCTGGGCAGTGTATTTGCTCCCCGTTGCAGTAGGTCATTGTCACTGGGGCTGACTCTAGGCCGTCCATAGTAGCAGGGAGCGTAGACCCCAGGTTTTGTGAGGATGCCCATATCATTTTGGAGCTCCCTGAATTCAAAATTAAGTATGAAAAGATTTATTTGGAATGAAAAAAATTACAACAAATTATTGAAGCCTAGGAGTTTCAGATGCCTACCTCTGAGATCCCTTTAGTTGGCTCACCAGGAGCCCCTGCTGCGATATGCTTCCTGGTCGCAGCCCGACTTCCCCTTCCCACCTAGAACTCACAGTGCTCACAGGGTCATGGCAAGGTGGTGGGGCACGGCTGAAGCTTCAGGGTAAATGCATTTGTGGAGAGCAGACTGAGTTTTTGTTTTTGTTTTTAAATCTGTTCAATGTCTCAGGGAGCAATCAGCAAAAAGCTAGCCAGCCTACATCTTGAAACCCTTATATTTTGGAGACGTACAAATGAAGCATTGAGGACCAAGTAGGATGGAAATATGATTTTGCACTTTGTGCATGTGTGCGTGTAAGAAAGAGAGAGGAGAGAGAGACATTGTGAGAGGCAGGAGAGAGAGGGGGAGAGGCCATCAGAACTTGGGGAGAGCAGAGCCCGCCTGCTTCCTGAGTGAAGCGTTGCTCAAGCGCTCTCTGCCCAGCCCCCTCCGAGTGTGGTTTTCCTCCCAGGCCAGCACCAAACTCAGAATAGAGTGGCTGACTTGCTGATTGAGGTCGGCAGCTCCCGAGAAGCAGGAGAAGCAGAGTTTTGAAGTAAGTACATGGTTGGTTATTATTTAAGACAGAGATGGAAAATCTTAGGATAGCTGGGGAAGAGGTGCTTCTGCTTTAGGTACAATGTCTTACAGACCCAGTGGATCTTGGTGTGACTAAGGCAGTATGAATACATTCTCCCGTGGTGCATGGACTGGATAAGTTAATGACACATGCATGATTTTGGGGGGGTTGAAAAAGGATTTGAAACCCATCTTCTGATGTCTTGAAAGAAAATGGTCTTCTCGCTGCTTGTCACCTGTTTCATCTTGCAAGGAAAGGATGATTAATGCCGACTTCAAGTAAATATATGAAGTTCTTTAGAAAAGAAGCGCTGTGAGTACTAATTAGTAGCAGTGTGTAGATTATTTTCCCATCCAGGGTGAATAGGGCTGCTTCTGTGCATTCTTTTTGCCAAGTGTGGGATGTCTAAGGTCCTGTGAAGAGAACCACCCACTTAACTAGTGCTTAGCCCCTGGAACGTTCTCGAGTCATCTCCCCTTGGAGATCAGCACTGTAGTGTGCCCTGTCATCTGGCAGAGGGTCTGATAATGTCCCAGTGCTCAACATCTGGGCAATACATGCGTCGTGTTAGGGTCTGAAATGAGATGCTTGTGAAACCCAGATGGCAGAATTTCAAGCAATAATATGATAAAGTTGGCGGCTTTTCTGAGAAGTTATTTATTGTATGGTTGCTTGAGACCGTTTTCCTCCATACCCCCTCACAGGGCTGAAGATACCTTAAAATCTCTCTTACCTACTCTGTTTCTAGAAATTAAGTTTTTGCTTTTTATTTCCTTATCCCACTGACTCTAGTTTCCTATTGGAATAAAATGTTTAGCTTAGCGGTGCAGGAGGTCCACACTAAGTTTTCTTGGGAAATGTGGCTTCTGCCCCTTCTCGATAGAATGCGAAGGTGCTGCTCCTGCTGCAGAACCCACTGGTGTGGCTGCTTCTGCTCCTTTACAGCTCAGCTCCGTGGACTCTGTGTCTCTGTGGTTCTGTTTTAGAGTAGCCGTGTTTCACTTCCTTTAACCTTTCCTTTACCAAGTGAGTTAACATGCAAGGCTGTCCAAACGGAGGAGCCCCCAAGGCAGGAGAGGGGGTGCAAAATAAGCAATACTAAACTCATTTGAAAACGTGAAATTGAAATAAACCACCACTTGTGAAGTATCATTCCTCATTCCAATTTTATTTTTCCAATGTGTTAACTTTTTTTTTTTTTTTTTTAGACGGAACCTCGCTGTTGTCACCCAGGCTGGAGTGTGGTGGCTTGATCTCTGCTTACTGCAACCTCTGCCTCCCGAGTTCAAGTGATTCTCCTGTCATAGCCTCCTGAATAGCTGGGACTACAGGCGCATGCCACCACGCCCAGCTAATTTTTGTATTTTTAGTAGAGACAGGGTTTCACCACGTTGTCCAGGCTGGTCTCGAACTCCTGACCTCAGGTGATCCACCTGTCTTGGCCTCCCAAAGTGCTGGGATTACAGGTGTGAGCCCCCGCACCCGGCCGCATTACGTTAACTTTTTTTTTTTTTTTAAATGATCAAAGTAATTTTGAGCTCTCACTGTACGACATCATCTCATTTGATTCTCCCAGCAGCCCCATGAGGTAGCTACCTTTATGGTCTTCAGTTGATAGCTGAGGATGCAGAGGCCTAGAGAGGTTATGTAACTTGGCAGAGGTCAGAGAGATGGGTGGACAGGTAGGTGAGTGGTGCAGCCAGGATGGGAACGCAAGTGTCTGTCAATCCAGAGCTCGTGCTCTGATATGGCATTTCAGTAAATTCGGAAATTGGAGAAAATAGTAACTTAATCCCACACCCTAAACCAACTGTTAAAATTTCTGTATTTCTTGCTGGGTGCGGTGGCTCGCACCTGAAATCCCAGCTACTCAGGAGGAGAAGAAGGAGGATTGCTTGAGACCAGGAGTTCGAGACCAGCCTGGGAAACATAGCAAGGTCACTGTCTCCAAAATAAAAAGAAAAAAAAATTAGCCAGGGCTGGGCACGGTAGGTCATGCCTGTAATCCCAGTACTTTGGGAGGCTGAAGCAGGTAGATTGCTTGAGCTCAGGAGTTCAAGACCAGCCTGGGCAACATAGTGATAGCTCATCTCTACAGAAAAATCAAAACACAAGCTGGGTGTGGTGATATGCACCTGTAGCGCCAGCTACTCAGGAGGCTGATGTAAGAGGATCGCTTGAAATCAGGAGGTTGAGGCTGCAGTGAGCTGTGATCATGCCACTGCATTTCACCTTGGCCAACAGAGCAAGACCCTGTCTCAAAAAAATAAAAATTAAAATAAGAAAATAAATAATTAGCCAGGTGTGGTGTTGCATGCCTGTAGTCCCAGCTACTCCAGAGGATCACTCGTGCCTAGGAATTCGAGGTTACAATGAACTATGATCTCACCACTGCATTTCACTCTAAGTGACGGAGTGTGATCCTGTCTCTAAAAAAATTATATATTTCTTTCTACCTGTACAACTAGACATTATAGCATAAGGCTTTAAAAATGTTATGTAGTTTCACAATTATTACTCTATTATTCTTTTGAGACAGAATCTCTCTCTGTCGCCCAGGTTGGAGTGCAGTACCGCGATCTCAGCTCACTGTGACTTCCGCCTCCCAGCCTCAAGCTACCCTCCCACCTCAGCCTTCCAGGTAGCTGGGATTACAGGCGTGTGCCACCATGCCCAGCTAATTTTTGTATTTTTGGTAGAGATGGAGTTTCACTATGGTTCCCAGGCCGGTCTTGAGCTCCTGAGTTGAAGCGGTCTGCCTGCCTTGGCCTCCTAAAGTCCTGGGATTACAGGGATGAGCCACTGCACCCAGCCTAGTTTGACAATTATTTAATGGCGTAAAATATTTTATTAAGTGATTGGTCCATAAATTATTTAACTCTTCCCTGTTTTTTAAAATTAGGTTGCTTTTCTTTTTTTTTTTGTTTTTTGTTTTTTGTTTTTTGCTATTATAAGTAGTAGATTAGTAACTGTCTTTGTCCATGGAACTTTCCTTATGTTTTTGGATTGTATCTGTAGGGTAGAGTTTCAGATGTGAGATTACTGGGTAAAAGGGCATAACCATTTTAATGGTGCTTGGTATGTGTTGCTAAATTACTTTCTATCAACACAGTGTGTTGGAGCATTCATTCAATTTCATCCATTCCACCAGCCAACAGCATCATGGGGAAAAAAGAGTAAGAAAAACAGAACCGAACCTCTTTATGGTATTTTGCATTTCTTTTAATACAGCTAGGCTGAACATTTTTTACGTGCTTGTTTATAAGTTGTACTTTCTCTTTTGATCATTTTATGGGATCATAATGCTGGCTTTTTGGGGCCGATTTATATGGGTAAGATTTATTTGCCATATTTTTGTCAGTTATTTTCCCCAGTCTATTGTTTACCTTTTTAAAATGAGTTTTTAAAACACATGCAGTCATTTAACATTTTTATATAGTCAAATTGGTTCATTTTTTTTGGTAAGTCTTCTATATTAGAGATCTAATTTCTCTGTTTTTAAGTCGTTTATTTTCTTCGAGTATTTTCTTTCACGGATGATGTGAAAGTAAATTTAAACTGACTTTAAAAAATGCTAACCAGTTTTTCCAGTATCATTTATGAGCCACCCTTATGTTTTCTAATATTTTATGATTTTTTCTTTATATATCTCCAGCTTTTCTATTATATGATTTTTCTGGATTATTTGATTATTTACAGGAGCAATCTATTTCTACGCCATTATCACACTGTGATAACTTTTGTTGCTTTTTTTTTTTTTGAGATGGAATTTTGCTATGTGGCCCAGGCTGAAGTACAGTGGTGCAATCTTGTCTCACCACAACCTCTGCCTCCCAGGTTCAAGTGATTCTCCTGCCTCAGCCTCTTGAGTAGCTGGGATTACAGGTGCCCGCCACCACGCCTGGCTAAGTTTTGTATTTTTAGTAGAGATGGGGTTTTGCCATGTTGTCCAGGCTGGTCTCGGGCTCCTGACCTCAGGTGATCCACCCGTCTCAGCCTCCCAAAGTGCTGGGATTACAAGCATGAGCCACCGCACCCAGCCTGTTGCTTTTATGATATGGAGAGAAAATGAGTTGTGTGGAGTAGTACTGAGTGAACATAGGATTCTGGTTAAGCCCATGGGCACTGGAGGCAGATGGCTCAGCCTTAACTTATCTGTCCCTCAGTCTTATTATCTGTAAAATGGGGATAAAATTAATAATAGTATCTATTCCATAGGGTTGTTGGAGTGAGGAAATAAAAGCTAAATTAAAACACACACACCGAAAAAGTATTGGTGTAGGTAGATGTGTAGAGAGACTATCTGAGGCATATAGAGATGACTTTATATACATGAGTATGGATTATATTACATATATACGTAAAAATACATTCGTATTTTTGTAGAGTCAAACATGTCATTCTTTCCGTCTATGGCTTAAGACAACCTTTCATGTAATCTTGGGAGACAGGAAAGGTTGTGTTAGCCACAGAGGGAAAGAATGACATGTTTGAGTCGCCGTATGCTAAAAACTTGGTACACTGAAAGACAGGTATGTGGCCGAGAGAAATACATGCAGCCCACATACCACAAAGAGTACTACTCATAATAAATGATTCCAGCAATCAACTAGAAAAAACACACCAGAGAAAAATGGGCAAAGGTTATAAAAAAGCAATTCCTAGAAGAAGGAATATAGAAGGCCAATAAACATACAATGTTCAACCTCATTAATAGTCATAGAAATGCAAATCCAAATACTCATGAAATGTCATTTCCCATGCAACATATTGGCAAAAATGGAAAATATGAATAATATTGCAGTGTGGAGAGAACATAGGAAGATAGGCACTGGCAGTCATCACTAATGGGAACAAAAATTAGTAAAGCTTTTTTGTATGGCAAATTTATAAAATCTATCAAAAGGTAAAATATGCTTACCTTTGATTTGTCTTAGAAAAGCACTGTACATGTTTTTAAGTAAACATAAACAATA